CCCCCCCCCCCCCCCCCGCCATAACCAGGCCCTTCCCTCACCTGCCGGGGCGGCCGATGGCGGCGCGGAGGCTGCGCACCCCCCCTTTGCCGCCCGCCGCGGACACGCCCACGCCAACCGGGCGCGCCCCGCCCGGGGGCGCTTCTCCCGGGAATGGGGGCCTGTCAGCCGGCGGGGAGGGGGCGACGGGGGTTGGGAGCCGGGGAAACCGCGGTACCGGTTCATTTGTGCAAAAGCTGGGGGTCCCTCTTCTCGTTTGCAAAGCTACGAGTTTGCTTTTTATTTATTTATAATTTTTTTCCTCCTTCTTACCTTGTGTTTGCTTCCTGTTTACGGCTTGTACTTGGTCTGGCGCGCTCTGTTCGCATTTTAAAGCGTAATTATGAGCCCCGGTTGAAAATGCTTAAAAAGAAAACGCTCTCCTGATGATGTGGTTTTGTTTTTATTTTGAAGGATTTTTTTTAACTTTTAAAAGCCTCTGTTTGAACTATAACTGGTGGTAGAGTGGGACAATGTTTTTTAACTCGGGGTGACAATGTTTGCTACTGTTAATTAAACATTAATTAATCTTGTGATCCCATGCAGGTGCTTAGAAAAAGTCTTCAAAGGGGGGTTGTGCTTTCAACAGGGTCCTTTTTGGTTTATGAAGCTCACAAGCTGATTTCTGGCTTTGCTGAGGTTCATGCAAGCTTCAAAGGTAACATATTCCAATTTTGAAATACATAGGTTATTCTGATGTGAAATTTAAAATTTTTAGCGCTAGAATTACATGGAAAGATGGCGTAAGGCTTTTGGTTGTCTCCATTAAGACTGCATGCGGTGTGTTTCCACCAGAGGATGCTTTTGGATTGGTTCATGGGGGTCTTGTAGCACTTTTAAGAAGTGATTCTTTCAAGCCTCACTGAAAATAGATCTAGTAGCTCACCCAGCCTGGTACGTAACACGTGCACAAGGTGGATGATGCCCAACTTGTTGCCCAACCTTTAAACAACTCTTACGTGGTCCAGTTGGAAATGCAGACCGAACCTTGATCAATTTCTAGGAATCTTCCTTAGTTCAGGTTTTCTACATGAACACAGTGTGATTCCCATTTAATCTAGTTGAGCAACACTGAGATTGCATTTCAAACAGCATTGAGAAATGCCTCGTGTTTTCGCCGCGCTGAAAACGGGGAAGAAAAGCATTGCTTTACCTACCAGAAAAAAAGAGAACAAGTGTTAAAATGTCCTTTTCAAGATCTGAATAAAGATAAGTCTTACTACTGGAAGAAAAGTACCATTATCTTAAAGGGGGATATTGGTGCAGCCTTTAAACTTGTCTATCAAGTTGTAAATGAAGGGATTTTGAGACTCTTAACTGAATGGAGAATGAGTTTAAATGTTTGTTTACTGTGTAGATTAGGTAGTAGTCAGCTCAGCCTGTTTCTCTGTGTCTCAGAGGAACATCTTAGATGTTTATACTTGAAATAAAAATTCAGACAATAGACTTCTAAAAAGGATAAGGAACCGTTTCATTTACTGTAATATAGCTTCAGTGAATAGATTTAAGATAGCTACTCAGTACACAAATATGAGAATTTCCCATGAGGAACATAAATAACTCTACTTAATTGCCTCTGGAGTGTTTTAGTGCTCTGGCTTGAACCTGGCGTTTATGTTGCCAAGAAAAGCAACTATGCAACACAAGTAATAGATACGGCAAAAATAAGAGTAAAAAAGAGATACCTGAAAGGTACTCTTAAAACAAATAGAATTCTAATAATTTATCTAAAACACCTGGTGGGAAATGAAGTTTGGGTTCTGAGCTTTTAGTCATTAGCTATGTTAGTAGTGTTTGGGGAGTCTCAACAAGCAAACACTGAGGATGTTACCCTGAAGCTAATCTCGGACACTAAAACCCAAAGTCCACGTAGACCGTTATCTTATCTGATCTTTGAAATGGTCAATAGAAGGCATTTAGAGATGGCAGGGTTAAAAATTATCCAGATTGTGCTCCTGATCTTCAGCGATTTATATTCTAGGACCTTTTTAAGCTGAAGAGGAGGCTTTTGTGTTTAGTGGCCTTCAATGTTTTGTTTTCTTCTATAAGTAAAACAGTGATGCTCTGAAACATGACTACCATATTCAGTAACTTGAAATCAAGAAAACTTCATAAACCTGATCAATTTTTACGAAGGGAGGAGTAGAGCTTATGTTTTGACTTAGAAATTTGATCATGGACCCAGGAATAATACCAAAGAGGTGATAAGCATAGCTGAAAGTTCTGTAAGAAATTGGACAAGGCTTTTGACTTTAATGGCTTTTTTTTTTTTTCATGTTTTAATGTTGGCAGAAGAGAAAACTCAAGAGTTTGTTCTCCTTCTGTACAGTTATATACTTCAGTAGAATTAACTACTTGCTGCCCTTTCGGTATTTTTCCTCCTAATCCCATCTGTTCTCATGCTAGAATCCTGTATTGTGTGGTGTTTGATGTTTATGTTTCTGGAATGCTGTTTTATTTACTATATAGATATTTATTTGCATATTGCTATATTCAGCCAGTTGCAGAAACTGTACTGCCCCATCTCTGTTGTGAAGTATTTTCTAGAAAAAAAATTAAACTATCATAAGAACAAAATTGATACTCTAGAAAGCCAATTTTGATTTTCAAAATTATTTTTGCTTTTAGTATCCTGAACACATAGAGGTTTCCATAGACAAAATGTACTTTTTGGAGTCGTGATTGTGTAAATCTTAAAGAACTTCTGTCAGAAAACCTTTGAGCCATGTTTCATTCTGGCTTGTTGAGTTGCTCAGAGAAATTTGTGGCTGCCCCATCCCTGGAGGGGTTCAAGGCCAGGCTGGATGGGGCTTGGAGCAACCTGGTCTGGTGGGAGGTGTCCCTGGCCGTGCTGGGGGGGTTGGAACTCAATGATCTGTACGATCCCTTCCAACTCTAACCTTTCTATGATTTTATAATGGGACCCACTCAATCTGCAGCCACATTCTGGCAAAACTATGGAACCGTGTAGATGATGAAGAATATTTTAAATTTTAATTTTTTTTTTTAATTATTTTTAGTATTAGATGTAAATTCTGTACATGTACTGATGAAGGGTATTTCTTACTCTCAGAACTCAAATGCACGTCCCCTCCTGGTCATATTTTTCATGCTTCTTTTTTTTTTTTTTCCTGCCATTTTCACAAGGCAGAAAACAAATTGCTTCTAATAGTCTGTTTGCATAGAGAAAGATAGTTCTGAATGTTAAATCCCTTCAGTATCCAAAGCCCTGTGACTGAGAAAGCTGTTCTGTGGTTCATGAGAGGCGTGTGTTCAGCACTGTTTCTCTTCCGAGGTGTTCAGCGTAAACGTAGCTTCTCCCATCCTGCTGCTGGTGTAAGTTGTTTGGAATGACAGCCTAAAAAGGATTACAGCTAGGTTGTCTTGCTCTAAAGATCTTTTTTTTCTTTTTGCTATCATGTCCTAATTACACGTAATTTGTTCTTCTGTTTCCACAATTTTAATTCCTTCTTAAGTGGAAGAAGTTATAGAGCAAGCAGACTACCTGTATGGGAGTGGAGAAACTGAAAAGCTCTATCGGTTGCTGGTTCAGCATAAAAATAGGTACTTGCCTGCATTGAGACAGTACTGTCACTTCTTTTCTGTGCTCTTCTCTATGAGTTTTTCAACTAATGTTCTCATTGTGGTTCGCTGGAGAACTCTTGCTTTCCTCCTTGTGTAAGCAGGAAAGAAGGACTCTTGATCTTTTTTCTCCTGATGGAAAAATGAATCAAGGAAGGGCTGGTGGCTGGAGAAGATGAGGGTTAACACTCGAGTTTCAGTCCTGCAAAGGACCATTTTTTTGCTTGTTGGCTTTATTACTCTAAGAATCCTTTAATCCTTTAAAATACAATGCAAAAACTCATAACGTGTCTAAACATTACTAAAGGATCAAAGTTCCTAAAATTCAAGTATTGGAAATTTTTCAGAGTCACCGTGTCATTTCTTTCTCGTTGCTGACCAGCTGTTTTCATTTGTCTGCTGTTAGGATTTGACTCTGAACAAAAAACCAAAAAGCTCCTTACTCATGTAGTTATGTCCTCACTGCACTGAACATTATCGATAAGTGAACGGGGACAAGCTGTTTAAGAAAATAGCAGGCAGTGCCTTGCAAACTGAAGAGTCCATTCCTTTGGAGGAGACAAGGCACCTCACTCCGAGAGCATTTCTGGAGGAAATCAAGTGTTCTGGTGTTTTCAGTTCTTTTTTTTTTCTTTCTTATTTCTTCTCTCTCTTGTTCTGGCCAGGGGTGCAGGTACAAAGCCTGGGAAGTTAAATGGAGGTCCTAGCCTGTAAGGGACACGTGTTATAAGCAAGGTGTAAGCTACTGTAACAATACTAATTATTCTGTGAGGAGTAATGATTCTAGTAGCAGTACTTAACATTTTTGCAACTTGCCTGAAAAATGAGTCTGCTAGTTCTGTGTTACTGTGTTAATTAGAGCAGGACTGCTGTTCTGTGAGCAGTGCCTCAGTTTTACTCCAGATAAGAAAGCTGGCTTTTTTTGATGCTTTGAGTTTAGCAATAAGTCATGTATGCTTTTTAATATTTCTGGTTTCTTACAGTTTTAACTTCAGTATTTCTGTTGGGAAGGGGGCGGGGGGGAGTTTTATAGCCAGAATCTCTGAAAGCCTTTCTTAAATTTAATATTAAAGTTTCTATTAAAATAGTAAGCCAAAATGAAAATGGTAGTTAGCTAAAAGTCCAGTGAAGTGCTTCAAAACACTATGTTAACAAAATAAAAAAACCTTAAAATCCCTTATTTTTGGCTGTAAGATACCATACACCACTTGATACAGTGATATAAATAAATACAGAAATGTACAGCTTCATGTGGTATGGCTAATCTGTGTTTTTTCACTGGTGTTCTAGGAAGAATTTCATTATTTAGGTATAATTATAGGAAAAAAATCTGCATAATATTTTAAACATTCCTAGTAAACATTAATATTGAATCAGTAGAATGCTGGAAAAAATACCATCTAGCTAAGAACAAAATAGACCATGTTTCCCATCTGGTGTTTTGATAGGGACTGTTGGGGTTTTTAAATCTGCATTTTTTTTGGAGAAAACAAAGTCTTTTCCTACAGATACGTTTGCTTCACAGAGCAGAATGGCAGAAGGAAGGTATTGTCAGTCTATAAGGAGGGCTTTCATTTGTTGTTTGTTACTCTTGGGGTTTTATATAGCATAGAATGACAGACGAGTTGCTGTTAACTTACCACCCACTTGAGATAGATCTTAAACTGGTCTTTTAATATGTTTGCTTGCTGTGTTTGCATTATTGCTGTCAAACACGAGTGTTTCTGTTGGTCACCCAGCGATGAGGCGGAGTTGCTGTGGCGGCTGGCGCGGGCGTCGCGAGACCTGGCCCAGCTGAGCAGCACCGCGGCGGAGGAGAAGAGGAGGCTGGCCTACGAAGCCCTCGAGTGTGCAAAAAGGGCACTGGAAAAAAACGAATCCAATTTTGCAGCCCACAAGGTGAGCCGAGCAAAATTAACCTCACTGAAATCTTGTTCTTTGATTGCTGTCAGTAGGAGCTGGAACCAGCGCCATCGTGCTGTTTCAGCAAAGTTCAACCGATTGAAGTTTTCAGTTGAGAAAGAGTGAAGTCTCTAATTCTCCCTAACTTTTGGGGAAGATCCAAGTTGAGACCATTGCAGCTCAATTTCCTCTGTGCGGGAAGCGGGAACTAGTTAAATGTGCTAGTTAAATGATGTAATCTTCTTCAAAAAAGCCTTTGATACAGTCTCCCATAGCGTCCTCCTGGAGAAACTGGCTGCCCATGGCTTGGATGGGAATACTCTCCACTGGGTTAAAAACTGGCTGGAGGGACGGACCCAGAGAGTGGTGGGGAATGGAGTCAAATCCAGCTGGCATCCAGTCACGAGTGGTGTCCCACAGGGCTCGGTACTGGGGCCAGTTCTCTTTAACATCTTTATCAATGATCTGGACGAGGGGATCGAGTGCACCCTCAGTAAGTTCACAGACAACACCAAGCTGGGTGGGAGTGTCGACCTGCTGGAGGGTAGAGAGGCTCTGCAGAGAGATCTGGACAGGCTGGATGGATGGGCTGAGACCAACGGGATGAGTTTCAACAAGGCCAAGTGCCGGGTCCTGCCCTTGGGTCCCACCAACCCCCTGCAGCTCCAGGCTGGGGGCAGAGTGGCTGGAGCTGCCTGGCAGAAAAGGACCTGGGGGTGTTGGTGGACACCGGCTGAACAGGAGCCAGCAGTGTGCCCAGGTGGCCAAGAAGGCCAATGGTATCCTGGCCTGTGTCAGGAACAGCGTGGGGAGTAGGGCCCGAGAGGTGATGGTCCCCCTGTACTGGGCACTGGTGAGGCCTCACCTCGAGTGCTGTGTCCAGTTTTGGGCCCCCTACCATAAAAAAGACATTGAGGTGCTGGAGTGGGTCCAGAGAAGGGCAACAGAGATGGTGAGGGGTCTGGAGCACAAGTCTTATGAGGAGAGGCTGAGGGAGTTGGGGTTATTCAGCCTGGAGAAGAGGAGGCTGAGGGGAGACCTTATTGCTCTCTCCAACTCCCTGAAAGGAGGGTGTAGAGAGGTGGGGGTCGGTCTCTTTTCTCAAGTCACAGGCGACAGGACAAGAGGAAATGGCCTCAAGTTGCGCCAGGGGAGGGTCAGGCTGGATATTAGGAAAAATTTTTTCACTGAAAGGGTTCTCAGCCATTGGAATGGGCTGCCCAGGGAGGGGGTGGAGGCCCCATCCCTGGAGGTGTTCAAAAGACAGGTTGATGTAGTGCTGGGAGGTCTGGTTTAGTGATGATGCTCCTTGTTTGTTGTGTGGGTGTCTATTTTTGTCAGTTAGGTTGACGGTTGGACAAGATGATCTTTAAGGTCCCTTCCAACCTAGAAGATTCTGTGATTCTGTGATGTAGCCTTAAAAATGTTGTAGACGCCGCCCCACATCCAGCGTGCTGTTTCTGTGCACAGTGGTAGCTCTGTAGAGTTTCACTGGAAACACCTAAGGCTCTGGCTTCATTCTGCTCTTCTGTTTTGTTTTTCTTTTTTTTTTTTCTGTCACGCAGAGAGGTAACAAAGGATGGTCAGTTGTGTGGGCATCTTGGATGAGAAGGGGACATTGATTTCCTTACAGACCTGCAGGTTGCTCTGATGCTGCCCGAGCTGGTGTTAACAAATACTTCTTGCTTATTGTCGTTAGTGGTGGTGATGGCACCTGTTCTGTGGTGTTGGTTTTTTAAAAAAGTTACTATTAATAGCGTTAGTGCTGTATTAAATACTTTATTTCTGTTCTTTGAATTACAGTGGTATGGAATTTGTCTCAGTGATGTTGGAGATTTTGAAGGGATCAAGACTAAAATTGGCAACGCCGTTGTTATCAAAGAGCACTTTCAGGTAAGGTAAACATATTTTTTTTTTTTTTTTTTGCATTATGATGGCATTAATGCAGCCAGTATGTAGACTGTGTGACAGTTGTGAACTATTTTTTGGTAAAAATTTGCAAATGTACTACTGTTCAAATCTCCTGGTGACACTGGGTTTTGGGTTATTGTGGCAGTTGGGAATGCCCTGGCAAAAAGGAGTAGAAATACTCTCCTGCAGTAAACTAAGTTCCTATAGAAGAGAGTCTTAAAATAGCTGAAGTGTTTTTGATGCCTCTTAGAACTAGATAAAATGTAACTTTGTTACTGAGAAACGGACAAATACTGGAGAAAGTAAAGGATGGCTGCTTTTGTATCACCAAAAAGTATATCAAGTCTCATGTGCAGCTCTTAATGACCCACTAAACAGAAGTGCTTAGAAATCTGTCAGTGTCTTTAGTTTTTTGGAGGTGAGCCCATGTAGTTGTGCACTGAAATAAACCCTGTATCTCCTTGAAACTATACTCACTGTTAATCTGGTTTAATTAACAGTAGGATAGTAAGTCTAATTCCATACATGTATTTTAATCCAAATGTTGCAGAACAACTTTTTTCATCTTGTGATTTATTTTTTTTTTTCCCCCATCACTAGAGAGCCGTTGAACTGAATCCAAAGGATGCCACAACAATTCATCTCATAGGCATTTGGTAAGTTCTGTTTTCAACATAAAAGTTAGCATGTGGCAAAGAAAAATGCCAGGATAGAAAATGTCTTGTATGAATTGCAGAAACACTTGGAATAATTCAGTGGCTTTCAATTAGCTGATGCAAACATGAAAACCTATTGAACGGGTACCGGATGTCATGCCTTGGAAAAGTCTGGCTGTTAATTCTTACACAGTTCCAAAAGATGAAAAATAATTGTTCATTCAATTTATTTGTTTTACTGTATGGAACAGTATGGAGGGCAGCTTATAAATGCATATGCAGTAACAAAAATCTCTGAAACTGAATTTACTGCTCAGTGAAACTGGTCCTAAGAACAACTGTTCCCCGGCAGGCGAAGGGACTGGAAATCCAGCTTCCCATAGGAACCAGCACATGCTGTGGGAGCAGAAAACAGTATCTTTTATGTGTTAGTGAGAGACTCCAGACAGCACTTCTGGTTATTTGTCTAAAAGAGACCAAAGCTGCTGCATTGTTTTACAGGAAATCTGCAATGTAAGATTGAGAGATTGAAAATAAATAAAGCCAATGTATTCGTAGCTTAAAAAAAATACTAAAAACCACAGCCACATTTTCTGTGTTGGTTTTTTTTTTTTTTTTCTGGACTCTTGAGTATCAGAGTAAGCTACAATCTACCACTCCAGAGTTTTTTATTTACAAACTTACTTCAGCTTTTCAGCATCCACAATTCATTCCTAACCATTGTGATAGTTGGTAGCACACACTTCTCTAAAAATCTAGACTGTATGAGTCTCAAGGTCAGTTTTGAGATGGGAAGCCTGTTCTGGGAGGTACTTAAGACATTGTGCCTAAGGAAAATTAGAAAAGATGAATTAGAAATGTGAGATGATTATTGCTTTTGGCAGTAAAATATCCCCATATTTAAATATATTAATAATAATATTAATTTTAATGGATATTTTTAATAATGATGATATATAAGTAATAATATATATTTAAATAAGTATGTTTATAAGTATATATATAATATATATATTTAAATATACTCACTATTGAATCCTGGAGAGTCTTCATCTGCAACTGGGCTTTGGTATCAGCCAATTCTTGAGTATTTTCCTCTTTTCTCTTTCTGGTCTGTCCTGGATTGAGCCTCTTTTATTGGTATTTCTCAAAAGGCATATCTGATGGCAAAATTTCAACTCAGACTGTGTATTCCATGCCTTGCCCCCTCTTCTCCAAACACTTCCATATTGGCATTGATTTATTTTTCACCTCCTCTAGAGTGCTTCTATTTTACACAGTGAAGAACATTTTTATACTCGTCGCAGGAGAGGAATAACATGAATAGCATTATTTCATGTTTGAACCTGGAACGTTCTACATATTTGAAATACTTAACATGTGTTTAATCCTTTCAGCATCTCCCGAGATAGCTGACTGATTACCTTTGTTAATCAGTAGACAGGAAAACAGGGTGGAACGACCTGGCCTAGAACACCGTAGTTTGATTCTTAGGTTTATTTTCATTCTTACAGATCAGAGTGTGTAAGCAGACCTGCTTTATATTAATTGAGAAAAACAAGGTAATGTTGAGGCACGCCAAGGACTTGACTCAGTTGTGCCCTGTTTTTGCAAATATATTAGAACAAGATCAACCAACATAAATTGTTAAAATCATTCAAGCTCAAAAGCTGTCTCACGGTGAATAATTGTCTCCAGTTTTGTCTAAGCAGCTCTCAGGAAAAGACAAACCAGAACTTCTTCAGCAGCAACTTCAAACGTCTTGCTAGTTTGTTGTACAGTTGTAAGAATTTGCTTGTAGAGCTTGCAGTGTGGCTGGAGTTGTTCTGACTTTTGGAAACAACAATTACAAAGTCCAAAATATGAGGAAGTTAGTGGCAAACAAGAAGGTTCACTCAAACTTGAAGGGTATAGACAAATGTTTCCTTTTGCTCCAGGTGTTACTCCTTTGCTGAAATGCCATGGTACCAAAGAAAAATAGCTGCAACGCTATTTGCCACACCACCAACCTCCACATTTCAAGAGGTACAATATGAAAATGTTTCACAGATCCTTATTCCCCCTGCGAAGCTGCTGATACACTTTTACTAATTTTCTGACAAAGCTGACCTCTGCTCAGGGAATAAGCAGGGACTTTGTGAGTTTACAGCTGTCATTAATTAAATGAGAATATAAGAGGAGAGTGAGGGATATCTCACTCCTGAGATATCTCATTCCCCGAGAGGTGATGGTCCCCCTGTACTGGGCACTGGTGAGGTCTCACCTTGAGTGCTGTGTCCAGTTTTGGGCCCCCTACCATAAAAAAGACATTGAGGTGCTGGAGCGGGTCCAGAGAAGGGCAACAAAGATGGTGAGGGGTCTGGAGCACAAGTCTTATGAGGAGAGGCTGAGGGAGCTGGGGTTATTCAGCCTGGAGAAGAGGAGGCTGAGGGGAGATCTTATTGCTCTCTCCAACTCCCTGAAAGGAGGGTGTAGAGAGGTGGGGGTCGGTCTCTTCTCTCAAGTCACAGGCAACAGGACGAGAGGAAATGGCCTCAGGTTACACCAGGGGAGGTTCAGGCTGGATATTAGGAAAAATTTTTTCACGGAAAGGGTTCTCAGCCATTGGAATGGGCTGCCCAGGGAGGTGGTTGAGGCACCATCCCTGGAGGTGTTCAAAAGACGGGTTGATGTAGTGCTGGGAGGTCTGGTTTAGTGATGATGCTCCTTGTTTGTTGTGCGGGTGTCTATTTTTGTCAGTTAGGTTGATGGTTGGACAAGATGATCTTTAAGGTCCCTTCCAACCTAGAAGATTCTGTGATTCTGTGATCTAAAACCAGATAAATTTTTGGGTTTTTTTCAACTGTGGCACATACAGAATAGTGAAAATTAATTCGTGTAGTTTGTGAGGCAGAAAATAACAGACTACACGTAACTTGGTTTGTATGAACTATTATGACCTATTGCAGATCCCAGTACCAGCTCCAGCACTGGTGATCTATATGGTGGTGTTACACCATCTATTTGATAGGACTAATAGAATGTTCTCCTTTCTATTAAACGCAAAAAGTAACAGCTTGTTTCATTACTTAACCACTAACAAATACCTTCTCCTCCCCTTTTCTGTTGAAAGTATGTTGTTCATCTTTGCTATGAAAATCCCTGCTGTCCTACACCCTAAAACACACTCTCCAGATGTGTATCTTCTAGGGTATCTGGCACAGCATCCTATTTAAATACCTGTATTTATATAAAAAGATGAAAATTAAATTGGTAACAGGAAAGTTTGCTGCAGCTGTTAGAATCTTTGTGTGCCTGTGGAACCACACCAGTCCCAGCCTGGAGTTGTGTAGCATTTAGAGTGGCTGGAGGAAGCAAACTTGTCCCAGAACCTGCAGCTGAGCCCCACTGGCTGGACTCCTGGCACTTACTGTCTCAGTACAAAATCAGTTTTTGTAGATCCATCCACACCTTAAGTTCTCTGGCAGTGTTTTCCCCCCAGCTAGCAAGGTCAGGGAGAGATTGGAATGGACTGGTGTTTCTGCTGTGCAGGATGGGAAGCCTCATGGAAAAATGGGTGTGGATTCCATAAAGGTCTGCTCTCCTGTAAGAGGATATTATTACCTGGTGCTCTGTAGGAATTGGTTCTTCCTGAAGTATTTCTCAACACAAATAGTCTAAATAATAAGATTTGTTTCATCTATTAAGTTTATACACGAGAACAGGCTGGGGGATACAGAAATATGCTGGATGGTAGAAATACAATTCAAAATGATCTTGAGGAGTTGAAGACAGGAAAACCACGATGCACTTTGCTAGGGACGAATAGGAGGTACTGCACTTCTGGAGGAAGCTGCAGGGATAAGTACTAGCTGTTGGATAAGTCCTAGCTGTGTTGAGAAGGTGTCAAATCTACAGGACCTGGGCTGAGAACTGTCAGTAGCAAGCTGAATTAATAAAAATAAGCTCAAGGAGAGGAAGTCCTTCAGCTTTGTTGAGCATGAGCATGAGGCTTTGAGTACTGTGTTCAGTTTATTCTCCATTTTAAAGAAGACAACCTTATCTTTTGCAGGCTCTTCATTACTTCAACATGGCAGAGGAAGGTAATACTGCTGGCTTTTTTTTTGAACGGAATAATCTCTTTTATGAATGATGACTTGCAGTAAAACTCTGGCTTGTGGTATTATCTTAATAGCGTGTGATTTGCTGATAAACATATCAGCCTCTTGTGCTGGTCAATCCGTTAGGCTGTTACACTGGAATGTTTCATCAGAGATACTCAAAGTATGTCACACGCTTATTATCACCTCTTAGACTGTAACAGGAGGGGGTTTTCCCCCATTAAAGTAAAATCTCTACCTCCATTAGTAACAAAGTAATCTTCCCCAAGGCGTTCAACCGGAACGCGGGGAGAAGCAGCAAGCAAAAAAAGGAATTTTATGTTAGTTTTTCTAAAGTTCAGATGTCATCTGTATTGTAAATACAAGAGAGAAAACACACATTTTTATTATTTCGGAAGGTATTTGGATCAGAGTGCAGTCTAACTGGCAGTAAAAGAAAATATGGATCTATTATTTCTCCAAGAGCAAAGCCACAAGCAAAACTGAGTAGCTGAAAGATAAAGGAAGACAATCTTCTCTGGAAGATGTGTATCTAGTTGTATCAGCAAAGTTTAAAGGACAAAAGTTGATTGTGTATCTCCCCCTGGGTGCCGAGTGATGCAGCTGTGGACTGGAATGGTGGACTTCCCCTCAAAATCTGCTTCCCAAACACCTCTGTAGGTTACAAATCTTGACCTTAGATCCAGCAGCAGAGGAAGCCCCCGTTGTGCTGGGAATGTGGGCAGCTGGCAAGAGCAGTCTTTAGTAACGACCGATGGCCAAAGCGTGGTTTGGAAAAGTAACTTCTTAAATCTCTCCTTTAAAAAAGGTTAAATGTGGGTACAGTCAGTTTTAGGTTTTTTTCCTGATACGTGTCTGTGTGTGGTCTGAAGCCAGGAAACGTGCCCTTTATTTCCTTGCCTCTACTTGCTCAGCTGGTTGCCTTGCCTGCTGAACCTACTAGGTCCAGAAGAGCACAGAATCCCCGAAGCAAAGCAGATTTGTGAGGAATCTAGTTTAATTTAATATATTAACTAACAAGCTGCTAGCTAAGGTAACTCTCTGAGACCAAAATCTAGTTTGATGTTGGCTTCCTTCTGATCCAAAGTATTGAAAGGAGTGTCACACCATCACGGCTTCTCACGTAAAGCTTTTCTCCTCTCTCTATACAGCTGACCCAAATTTCTACAGCAAAAACTTGCTCTTCCTGGGGAAGACATACTTGAAGTTAAACAATAAGAAGATGGCTCTTCTGTGGTTAAGCAAAGCAAAGGATTATCCTGCCCATACAGAAGAGGACAAACAGGTAGGAAGCTCTAGCACTTTTTCTGGAGTGAGTATGTCAGACAGAGTGATGAACGTTGGGTGTGTAGTTGATGGAAAGCCTGTGCCTGAAGCAGGAGGAGTACTAGCCCCATCTGGAGCACTGTGTCCAGTTCTGGGTTCCCCAGTTCCAGAAGGACAGGAAACTGCTGGAGAGGGCACAGCAAAGGGCTCCCAAGATGGTGAGGGGACTAGAACATCTCTCTTAGAAGGAGAGACTGAGGGACTTAGGTCTTTTTAGTCTGGAGAAGAGCAGAGTGAGGGGGATCTGATCAAGGCCTTGAAATCCTTCAAGGGCGGGTGTCAGGAGGATGGGGCCAGGCTTTTCCCAGTGGTGCCCAGGGACAGGACAAGAGGAAATGGGCACAAACTTGAATATAAGAACTTCCACCTAAACATGAGGAGGAACTTCTTTCCTGTGAGGGTGGCAGAGCCCTGGCAGAGGCTGCCCAGAGAAGTGGTGGAGTCTCCTTCTCTGGAGACATTCAAACCCCCCTGGAGATGTTCCTGTGGGACCTGCTCTGGGGGTGCCCCTGCTCTGGCAGAGGGTCGGACTAGATGATCTCCAGAGGTCCCTTCCAACCCCATAGCATTCTGTGACTCTGTGAAGTCAAGAACTGTAAGAGTACAGTTATGTATTGTAACCAACGTGGGTGACATCCTGGCAGTGGAATGGTTAGAAAATGGTTATAAAATTAACCCAAGGTCTGGATGAGATCCTGGAATACGGGGGCTGAACTGTAGTATTCCAGGATCTCATCCAGACACCGAAAGATTTCAGTATTTTGGTAACACAGACTTTCCAAACGTGAGCACAATGGTTGGAAATACTGTGTTTAGAACAAAGAACTGTTACGCTTCCTTCTCTGTGAGTATTTTTGTAGTGCTAACCTCTGTCTGTGTGAGCACAGATTGATTTTTCACATGCCAAAATCCGGAAAGGTAGAAGTTGTATTTTGGAAAAGCTAAAACCCAGATGAACAGGAGGAAGAAAAAAGCATGGATGTATCCAGAAACTTGCTAGATCCATAAAACTTACCATTATGGTCCTTTCCAGGCCCCTAGGGAGAGATTCAGACTAGCTGAGTTGAGACAAAGGAGGTAATCTCTCTTTGGCAGCCAATCTGGAAGGTGAGATGAGGTGCTTAATTAACTTTCAGGAGGGATCCTGCTTTGGATGGTGTCTGCTTCCTGCCTAAACACACTTCCAGGAGGGACAAACCAGTAGCCTTGTTCAGCCCTAATGCTGCGTTCAGTATAAACCCCAGCAACTGGAGTTACCTTTCACAAACAAACAACCCCATTAGCATCAGGAACAACAAAGCCTGATTTCCAATGGATTTTTCTTGACCTCTAATTCATTCAGCGTTAAGCTGCAGCGCGAGAGGCTTTAACTGTTACGGAAAATGTCCCAAAATTGTGTGATGTTCTGCACATTCTCTGAGAAATATTGGGTAGTGCTTCTTCACACCTCGGAAAAAGCACTCCTGAGGTCTCCCTCCTTAGATCTTCTAGTTCTGTTTCTCCCAGAAGTGAGCTCCTTCCCTAGAAATACGAGTAAGGGTTCCCTTCCTGCGCTGCTCTGTGAATTGTATAGGAATTGAGTAGCCTCAAGGAGCAGTGGTCTCAGGTATGGACTCTGCCCTGATGAGGCTCCATTTGGAGCACTGGGTCCAGTTCTGGGCTCCCTGGTTCAAGGACAGGGAACTGCTGGAGAGGGGACAGCAGAGGCTACAAAGATGATGAGGGGCCTGGAACATCTCCCTCGTGAGGAGAGGCTGAGGGACTTGGGTCTCTTTAGTCTGGAGAAGAGAAGGCTGAGGGGGGATCTGATCAATGTCTATAAATACTTAAAGGGTGTCAGGAGGATGGGGCTGGTCATTAGTGCCCAGAGAGTGGACAAGAGGAAATGGGCACAAACTTGAACGTAAGAAGTTCCACCTAAACACGAGGAGGAACTTCTTCACTTTGAGGGTGGCAGAGCCCTGGAAGAGGCTGCCCAGGGAGGTGGTGGAGTCTCCTTCTCTGGAGACATTCAAACCCACCTGGACACGTTTCTGTGCAACCTGCTCTGGGTGGCCCTGCTCTGGCAGGGGGTTGGACTAGATGATCTCCAGAGGTCCCTTCCAACCCCATGTGAGAAACTGGTCAATTCTTGTGACACTGCTAGTAGCTGGAGGCAGATGGGAAGCCAGTGATTGCAAAGGTTGCCTTTCTTCAGCGACCACACAAGAGGAGCAGGCGGTGGTTTTGGTGTGGTCACCGAGCATTTCAACCGTGTTGAACCACTCCTGGAGGGAGCAGAGCTGCTGGCTCTCTCAAGGTGGTGGTCTCTCCCTTCTCTGGGTGAAGGTGTGAAATGCCAGGTTCATTGGGAACTAGTCTTGGTCGTCCAGTAAGAAGGGAACTGGCCTGAGCCAAAGATGTAGGAATTGTTGTCCCTGCGTGTGGCAGAGGGAGGCTCCTCCTGGGGTCTGCCGCACCCGGCTGGCGGCGTTTGCATGGCTCGCTCTGGCAGGACCAGCAGTTTGGTGCTTGGGGTTGTTTGGTTTCACAGAGATGTTAGATGTCAGTGACAGGACGAGGGGCAATGGCTTCAAGCTGGAGGGGAACAGATTTAGACTGGAGATGAGGAGAGGGTTCTTCACTGTGAGGGTGGTGGAGCACTGGAACAGGTTGCCCAGGGAGGTGGTTGAGGCCCCTTCCCTGGAGATATTCAAGGAGAGACTCGATGAGGCCCTGGGCAACCTGGTCTAGTTGGGGGTGTCCCTGCTGACTGCGGGGGGGTCGGACTAGATGACCTTTGGAGGTCCCTTCCGGCCTGGGCAATTCTATGATTCTATATTCATATTCTGTTAGATCTTACCCAGAATGGGAGTCTCAGAAACAGTCTTCTCGCACTTCCTCAGCTGCTGTGGGTTTTGAAAACCCTGGGGTGGTTGGTTACGGTCAGAAATAGGACAACTTGCTCCTCTTGGACTACAGCAAATGGAGAGCCATTCGGCTGTGTTCAGCCCCAATAAACTTGGTGTCTGCAGGGAGTGAACGGTGCTGAAGGGCTTGGATTCCCCTTGGTGTTCCAAGGGTTTGAGCATCTTGGTTGGACTCGATGATCCCAAGGGTCTCTTCCAACCTCAATGATTCTATGATTCTATCTTGAACTCCAGGAAGGAAACACCCTGGTCTTTGGGGGGGGCTCTGAAGGTACAGAAGAGGGGTGAAGTGCTGGAGGCCCTGCAGGGCAAGTTCTGCCAGAAGAGCCTGTCCCTCCCCGCTGCCCTCATTGCTCTGAGCGTGTGTCTTTCTTTCAGGTCCAGAAAGAAGCTTTGGAGCTGCTGAATTCCATATGAGAAGAGGGAAGGTAATGGGAATTCAGTGCCTGGGGTCTGAGCAGCGCAGGAAAAAGACCCCAAATGCTACTTTGGTTCCTTGAAGCTGTTAATAATAAGTAAAGCCTAAACCTGCTCCCTCCAGCTCGTTTTAATTAAAGTGCCCAGGAGAAGATCCATGCCCTGGTGTGATCTGGCTCTTGATGTACGTGGGGATAAAGGGCTCGGTGGCCAAGCAGGGAGTGGAGAGGAGGGAAGGGCTGGGACAGCGGGCACACAGGTGTTTTTAATTAAGCTTTTTTACACTGTTCAGCTACAAATTATGTATGAGGAATAACAAGGAACATGAGCAGCATAACCTTAAAGAAAGGAGGTACGTAATTATGAACCTGCCATTTTTTCTACAGTGTTTTCCTTCCGTGGGGTTCAACGGCCTTCAAGAGTAATAGATGTTCCCCTTATTAATGCCCCTATCCATTTCTCATTAAGCAATCTTCATTCCAATACAATTAAATGCTGGTGTTTGACTTTACAAAAAGTGCTGTGGTTTAAAAAAAAAAAAAAAGTGAAGTAGGGAACACATGAAAAAATTGTTTTATGGGTGATGTCAGCATATGGAGCGAGAAGCTCTCCAGGAACTAGGAATCCTCCTTTGCCCAGGGAGAGGCTGTGGGGTCTGAGCACTCAGCACCTGGTGATGTTTGTGGGACACACAGATTCTTTCCCCCTTGTTTGTGGAGATCAAGTAAAACTTTCTTCTTGCCCTTGTTACTATTTTAGCAGAAACTTTCACCAGAAAAAAAAAAATAAATGAACCTAAGTGAGATACCCAGCATGAGACCTTCCCAACAACAGGTTCTGGTCACCCAACAGAAGATGACAGCCAAATAGGGAAGAAATGGCAGGTGATCAAATATGTGTGGTATCACCAGCAGAAAGTCTTCATGTTAAATCCAGAACAAACTGACTACAATGACCTGGTGTTTGCTTTAATGGGGCAGGACACGGCCAGCTCTAGGAGGAAGCTGAACTGCTCAGACCAAGGAACCAAGCCTGGGGCAAGGCAGTGGTGAAAACCCACAGCTACAGCTTCAATTCTGGCCTCAGGTCACTCAACTAGTTAAAAGACGGTTTTCTCCCCCGAGTTAATTCTTATTTTTCTATTAGTGGAGCACCAAGGTGAAGTCTTAGATACGTGAACCGTCCTGGGATGGATGATACGTGGTGTTTTAGAGACATTCGTCCCACTTTCTGCTACAAAACCCTCTGCCCTGATGGGCATGTTCCTGCCTCCAGCTCCCATCCATCCCCGAGTCCCGTCTCATCCCGGGAGCTTGAGATGGTTTTGTCTATATTGTATCTACTTTGTTATTTTCTTCCTTTTCATTTTAATATTAATACTTCATTAAAGTAGTTCAGTTAATTCTAAACTTCTAAATCTCCTTATCTCTTCTTCTCCTCTCTTTTTTTTGGGGGGAGGGAAGGAGGGAGGGCCATCTGTCATTCTGCTTTTGGTAAATTTGGCCAAAACCACGACACTAACCCCTTCCCCCAGGAAAAAAACTCCTGAGGTTGTGAGGCAGCTACAATTGTCAAAACGATCAAGCAACTACATTCTTGCGATATGCTTTTTTATTTTTATTTTTTTTTGTGCTTACTCACAGATTCACAAAAATTCAGCAGGTGGGAGTGGTCGAGCAAGTCATGGTTGTGGGGGTTTGGTTTGTTTTTTAAAGCTTCTTCCATTCTAACAACAGGCCTCAAGTCACAACTGAAGTGGGTCTGCACTTGAAAATTCACTCAACGCTCTATTTATGAGAAGGGGGTTTGCAGAAGGTGTTTGGTGGAGTAGGAAAAACCCTCAAAAACCACTCAAAATGAGCGTTTCCACCCTCAAAGTGGTGGGAATTACTGAAACTCTGAAGGCTGATGTGAGACAGGGCAGGAGCAGGGCTGGGCCAGGGCTCCAGCTGTGCAGAATGCTCTGCACGTGGGCTACAAAGCCTCAACCCAACCCAACAGGTAGAAAAAGCCAATTCTGGCAGAATTCAGTTGCCGTATCGGAGAGAGACGTAAAAATTCTGTAGAAGTGAAATGTAACAGAATTTACAAGTTGATATTTAAAGCGTAATACAAATGGCAATCTTCAACCTGTTCTGACTCTATAATAAGGAAGCACAGTTTGCTAAAAGTAGCATTTTAATATAATTCACATGAACAAGGTGTTAAATTTTAATTGCTTTTTCTTTTTTTTTCAAAACACATCTTTGCAGTTCAGCAAATGCCCTCGATGCCAAGAAAATTAATTTTAAAATGGCTTCACGTTATCGTGCGCTCAGGACAAACTTGACCTGCACAAAAGAATGATGGGGTTTGGAAATCTTTACTGAATTCAGACTCAGCTGAACTTCTGCAAGAACTTAAAAATATTTCTAAGTATTAAATACTCTCATTCCTCTTTTATCTGTGCAGAGCTTATAGAACTTCTGGTTTATTTGGGTTGACTAGATCCAGTAGCTGAAACTGAAGGTGACCAGAGAAAGCAGCAGAGTTGACGTTCCCTTTTGTACCCTTACACTGATAACACTCCACAAAGTTCTTAAAATGACATCACGGATTGAAAAGGGAAACAAACACCAACCAAAAAAAAAAAAAAAAAAACCCGGAAGACACCAGACCAAGGGGAGAATGTGTAATATTTTCTCTTTTATTGTTTTTTTTTCTTTGAAGATTACCTACTGATAACACTCCACAAAGTTCTTAAAATGACATCACGGATTGAAAAGGGAAACAAACACCAAAAAAAAAAAAAAAAAAGAAACCTGGAAGACACCAGACCAAGGAGAGAATGTGTAATATTTTCTCTTTTATTGTTTTTTTTTCTTTGAAGATTACCTAACAGCCTCGTGGTAATAACCCAAGGTAATATGTAAACAAATTTCAATGCTGCTCAAATGAATTAAAATATTCTGTTCAGCTCCTACAGTAAGTCAGAACAGTGGCACCGATTCCTTTCAACATTAAATCACATTCATCTTATTGTACATGACTCTTGTGCAAGTAGTAAAGGCTTTTATTCATGACCTTGGCTACATCAGTAGAGAGGGATATATCAGCTATTTACGTGTTTTTAAAAAAATTAAACTGACAGAACAACATACTCTGTCGTCTCAAATACCAGCAGCATCTTTCTACATATTGAGGATACGTTTGGCCTAAGCCTTTAACACCTTTTAGAACAGCCATGCAATAAAACAAACTTGGAGATGTTTCTTAAGAGAGAACACAGAGCAGTTTAAACATTTTTTTTTCTGAATAATAAAGCCAAGATAAAGCAAATCCAGGCCCTTTTAAATGGCTGCAACTTTTCATACACTTAGAGCTCTATAAAACTAGAGCCTATTAGTATATATATTTATATTTTTTATATATATTTTAAATAAGTCTCTTGTCTGCTTTCAAAATTTATGAGGGTTTTTTTTTTCTGGTCTTTTGGAAGGGCAATAAATAAAAGTAGAAAAGGCTGAACTGTTTTGCATATCTTTGTGGAAGAACGGAGAACAATTATACTTTTAGAGTTCCAGAAAGATCACTGTACAGAACAAAAAGCTTATATACAATTAAGTGTGCAATTTTAGTTGGCTGGGCCTTTTTTTATTATGCAAGATCTCCTTTTGGACTAGAAGCCACTTCTACTCTTGACCAAATCCCTCTGTTTCTTCGATGGCGAAGAGCAGCTTCTCTTTTAGTTGTTCATAGCTTTTATACGGTGGTAAATCCAAACGATTAAAACTAAGAAGAAGAAAAAAAACCAAAATTGTGTTAAGTTTCACTAAATCCCACATAGAAGAACACAGAACTCGACTGCTGTAGTAGAAGTTAAAGCTGTTTTGATTTAATGATCAGAAGTGAAGAAACAGCAATCGGTGCAATCTGGCTCCTTTCCATGAGCAGTAAAACCAGACCGAGTTTGAGAGGAACACTTGAAGAAACAAACGACTTATCACATCAGACAAAAACCAGCACCTCTGAAGACTAAAGGCAGCCCAAGATACAGAGAACTGCAACACCCAGAAAAGGAAGTGTTCACTGTGAACTTTAATATCATCCTAGTTTGATGCATCTCCAAATTCCAGCAAAAGTATGGAAAAGCTGAATTTTAATCCTTACTCATGCCTGGATATAGGTTTCTTTTTCCTTCTAAACTTTGCTCTAAAAGGCTTCTACCAACAATCTGTTTCATTCCAAGTTTTCCCCAAAATTATCTTAGCCAAGGAGGGGGAGGGAGGGAGGGATGTTTAACTCTTGCGTCATCACTTGAAAAAACAGCCCCAGTGGCAAATTTTAAGAATAGGGCAAGCAGAAAAGTTTTCAATACTGGCACGGCAGAGCATTCAAAGAAGCTGAAGGTGGAGACAAAGAAGTCATCTGATTTGGTAAATGCAAGACCAGAAAAGAGGACCACTAAAGGCACAGAAAGTTGACATGTAACAACTCACCAAGTGTGACTTCTTGGTAACCAGGTTTCCTTACCAACTTTTTCGATGCAAAACTTCTGAGGACCATTACTTCCTAGAAAAGAAGATTTAAAAAAAGTGTAATCTGTTCCTTTCAAGTAGTACCTGTGATATACAGTGACAAAAACACAACTCAGATACAGCGACAGAGCTCAGTAGCTGCTGCTCAATGCTACATGAATATGAACATTCCTCTCATAGAAATGAGATGAACTCCTAAAAATTTATAAATGGGATTTCTCTAATAAAAAGCCCTTCTAGATCCAGGCTGATGTAGATGAAGTTCCTGCCACCTGCACACTCACAGCATGGTTCATCTGCAAATGGTTTGGGTTGGAAGGGACCTTAAAGATCATCCAGTTCCAGCCCCCTGCCCTGGGCAGGGACACCTCCCACCAGACCAGGTTGCTCCAAGCCCCATCCAGCCTGGCCTTGAACCCCTCCAGGGATGGGGCAGCCACAGCTTCTCTGGGCAACCTGTTCCAGTGCCTCACCACTCTCACAGCAAAGAATTTCTTCCTGGTATCTCATCTAAATCTCCCCTCTTCCAGTTTAAAACCATTACCCCTTGTCCTGTCACTGCACTCCCTGACAAGGAGTCCCTCCCCAGCTCTCCTGTAGCCCCTTCAGATATTGGAAAGGGCTCTAAGGTCTCCCTGGAGCCTTCTCTTCTCCAGGCTGAACATCCCCAACAGTTACAGTCTACAAGTTTTGGACACCTTTTACTTACCCATCAGTTCAGCAAATCCCCCCAGGGGCAATCTGCAAGTGCCGGTGACAAACTGCAGAAGTCGCATGCGAACCTCGTTGTCTGTTTCTTTTACAAACTAGGCACAGAAATTCAAATTACTTAATAAAAACCTTTAACATCACTGGAGAAAAACAAAAAAAAAAAACCCACAAGACTATTGACAAAGTATAATTCCATTGAAAAAGACACCCCCTTGAGAACAGTTTACCTTTCTTGATTTCAGCAAAATTGGGTGGAGGGGGAAGACAGTGATTTGAGATTATACGCCCTGTCAACCGCTACAACATGAAGGCTGAGAACAGCCAATAGGAAGAGTCTTTGTCTGTTTTATTCTACACTAAAATATAAAGGGTTCCAATGGTTTATATGAAGACTATTGCCATTTTGATTAAACACAGGCTCAGGGTATTTCAAGACTGAAGCGCTCCCTGGACGTGGCAGTCTCAAGGAGAGAAAACACCATCCCCAACACCAGCCCCAACACCAGCCCCAAGAGCTGCATCACTGGGTGAGGAAATTCAAGAGGAACTCAAGAGAGAGGAGATGGAGACCACCTCGCTGGCTGACCCATCTAGAATCTCCACTCAGAAAAACCTGGGTAACAAAATGAGTACTTTTGTTCTATAAATGTTGAAACCACATCCAAGTCCCATCTGATTAAGGTTCTTGCAGTACCAAGCTTCTTCAAAAGCAATCGAATCATCAGATCTTACATTATTCTGACAATGTAAATAAGCTAGGAAGTAAATGATCTGCAGCATTTTCCTACAGAAACTTTGTCAAAAGCATCTCTAAAAAGGTGATTTTTCACAAGACAGGAACCACAAGACAGACTTCTCTTTAGGGAAATTCATAGAAACTGGGAGCCTGTATAGCATTTTTAGAGGTTTTTTTCCTGGAAATAATTCTTAGCCAACTTCAGTAAAATGTAAAATGTGAGTTATGATCAGTGAGTGCTCGCCTGGCACAGCTAATGGCACAATAATCATAAATAATACGTGGCATCTCAGATGTCCAGGTGTATTACGTGTAAGAACATTTGGAAGGTGCATCACTGCTGAGAATACAAAAACCTCTATTGTTGTATAATCAATAAGAAAGACAAGATATAAAAAAAGTATTCATGCTGCAGCCATCCAAATGTGATGTGGGCACCTGGCTG